GGTGGAATCAGCACGCTGGATTCAGAATAGCAGAGCGGTGGGCTGAGAGGCGGGAAGGCAGACACGGGACGAGTCAGCTGGTACATAAGGACCTGGTTTGTTCCTACTTCGTGCCCCCAAGCCCAGCCATACCGCTCCCTACTGACCACACAGCCCTCTTCCCAGGCCTGTGACTCGGGATGATGGAGGGACAGCTAGTAGGGGGTGGGAGAGAAAATCTAGATGGGCTGCAGAGTCTCCTTCCCCCTTCTGGGCCTCAACTCTGCTGTATAGTGTTGTTGGCAGGCTAAATATTATGATATTATTTATGTCAAATTGGACACTCTAATACTTAAAGCACATGGTAAGCATATTCAAAGGGCTGGGAGGTCGTCCCTTGAGGAGATCTGTAGGTAAAGACTTTGGAAATTGGATATAACTTATTTTTGTAGAAGCCTTGAGAGAATTTGTGCTTGAAGGAATCATTGAGTATCCTCTGGTCCTGGGCATCCCCAGGTCAGGACTTGGGAAAGCTTTATTGTGAGGGCTCTGTAGGGCATCCCTACTGCGGCAGAGGCTCCAGCAGGACCCGTGTTACCCAGACCTGGACTGTGGTCCATGTTTGTCTTGGACCCCAAAATACTTGTAATGTGGTTTAGCTGAAGAGCAGCTCTGTTCTTCCCTGGTCACCAAGCTAAGATGTCTCAGGAGGGTGTTGAACCAACACTTGGGGGAAACGTTTTAGCACAGCAGATGAAAGAGGTGAGCCTAGCATTTTTGCTAATGCTGTTTGATACCAGACTCTCAGGATAGGAAGCAAATAAGAAACTGGAGCATGGTATTGATTAACCCACGGTGATCTTCTTGAAATGGAGTGTTATCCTGTCAGGTTGGAATAATATCAGGATAAGGCTGCTGTGCTCCAGGAATTAGCCTCACAGCTGTGGTTTGTTGAGCTAGTCAGGCCTCTCTATCATTCTGGAATAATCCAGAAAGTCCCCAGGCCAAGCAAAGTACACTGGTCTCATGTTTTTCAGTTTAGGTTGGGCATTGTATCAGTCAGCCATTGCCACGATACTGCTGCGTAACCAATGACTCCAGAGCTCATTGGCTTAAAATAGTGAGCTCTGTTTATCCTCACATATTTATTCTCACATATAAATTTATTCTCACATATTTGCAGGTTGGCTCGAGCAGCTCTGTTGAGGCAGCTCTGCTGATCTCAGCTGGGCTCACTCACAGGTCTGTGGGTCAGCTGGTCTAAGCTAGACTCCACTGGGGCAGCTCCACTCCATGTGTCTTTCATCTTCCTGCAACTAACTGGCTAGCTGGGGCATGTCCTCTCGAAGTGGTAGCAGAGACATGAGAGATCAAGTTCAACCACACAAGTGCTTTCAAGCCCCTGCTTGCATCACACCTACTGGTATTCCATTGGCCAAGCAAGTCATAGAAAGCCCCCAGGTTGGCTGGTGTCCCTACCAGTCATCGTAGTCTTGACTTTCTTTTCTCATGTTTCTGCTGCTCTTCTGGTCCCTGGCTGCCCCTCATTCACTCTGCATTTCTATTTAAACTGTATCCTCTACCTTGAACTCTCAAACCCTGCAGATCCGTATGACTTGCTTGCTTAGTTAGTTCATGTCTCTACTCAACGTGGGAGACCTATCCTGAATACCTCTTTCAAAAATAGCCACCACTGTTGCCTCAACCTTCACTCTCTCCTCTTAGCCCGCTTTATATTTTTATAGCATTTATCACCTCTGACCTTATGTTATTGTCTCCCTCTCCCATTGCAAGGTAAGCTCTATGGGACAGGGACTTCATTTGTCTTGCTGCCTGCTCAATCTCCAGTGACCACAAGAGTACCTGGTACATAATAGTGCTTAATAGGGTTGGAATGAGTGAGTGGCTGAAAGGTTTTCAGTGTGAGCTTGAATGCTTCCAGTAACATGCTGCTCACTCTTCTGAGGCTTTATCTTCCATTTTTTAGACTATTGTAAGGAAGGCTTTTCATATTTAGATTGTATTAAAATTTTCCCCCCATAGTTTCTAAAACTTTTTGGTTCTAGTTCTCCCTTCAAGAGCCATGCAGAGAAGAGAAAAGGAAAACTGTTTGTCATCTTTGTTGTCTGTTTACTTGTGTTATGCCTTTATGAACTCTTGTACTAACCTTGAAGAAAAGGATAAAAAAGAAAAATCAAATTATACTTAATTCCACCACTCATAACTACTGCTAGCATTTTGTGTTTCATTCAAGTTTCGTCTAACACTTTTTTAGCATAAACATTTACATACACCTCCTACTGTGGTTTTGTATCCTGTCTTTTTCTCCATAGTGTTGTCCCTAAAGCATTTTTCTGAATCATTAAATTCCTGTGATTTTTTTTTTCAGGACAGTATAGTATTTAATTGTATGGAAATCTCCTAATTTATTTAACTACATTTTTATGGTTAAATATTTGGATTGTTGAACATTTAGTCTGTTTATATTTTTAAGAAATTTCTAAGTAATGCTTGTAGATTAATATTTGATGGCATTAGTGGTTATTACCTGAGGATAGACTAAAAGGATTTCTGCTCAAAGAGAATGGACTTTTTTGTTTCAGGCTCTTGAGACATTGTTAAATTGCTGTCTAGAAAGATTGTGCAGTTAAAATTTACTTAGCATAGTAAGCTTTCCATATCACCACACCCTTACCAGCAGTGAGCATTTTCTTTTCAAAATTTGCCAATTTGATAAACAAAAGAGAGAACGAAATTTTTTTTCCAATACCGTCATGCACTGCATAATGACATTTCAGTCAATGATAGACTGTATATACGATGGTGGTTCCATAAGATTAGTACCATAGAGCCTAGATGTGTAGTAAGCTATATCATCTAGGTTTGTGTAAGTACACTCTATGATGTTTGTACAATGACGAAATTGCCTGAGGACACATTTCTCATAACATGTCCCCGTCATTGAATGATGGGGGACATTGAATGACTTGACTTATTTACTGGCCATCAAAAGTGAGTGAGTGAGAGAGGGAATTAATTAGTTTCTCATGGATGTCCTTTGCCCATTTCTAATGGTATTTTAGTATTTTTAACTCTTGATTTGTAAAAGCTTTTTACATATAAAGAATGTGAAGGGGCCAGCCCCATAGCGTGGTGGTTAAGTTCAGCGCCCTCCACTTCGGCAGCCCAGGTTTGTGGGTTTGGATTCTAGTTGCAGACCTACACCACTCATCAGCCATGCTGTGGCAGTGACCCACATACAAAATGGAGGAAGATTGGCACAGACATTAGCTCAGGGCTAATCTTCCTCAAGCAAAAAAAAAAGAGAAAGATTGGCAACAGATGTTAGCTCAGGGTGAATCTTCCTCACCAAAAAAAAAAAAGAATGTTAAGCTTAGTGATTTATTTATTTGCTTTTGTTGTTGCAAATAATTTTCTCATTTTGATAGCCTTTTGATTTTGTTTATGAGGTCTGTTGGAAGACAGAAGCTAAAGATTGTTATGTCTTTACATTTGTCCATCTTTTTCTTTGTGACTGCTGGAAAATGCTGGCAGTTCCTGAACTCCAGTGTGATTCAGAGAACTCTCTGAATTTGTCTCCCTTCCCTCCCTGAAAAAAAAGGTCACATTATTATGTGAATTATCCTTTTAAAATAAAAATAGTATATCGTTAAACACATTTTTTTATGTGTACTGCCTTAACAAAATACCACAGATGGAGTGCCTTAAACAGTAGACATTTATTTTCTCATAGTTCAGGAGGCTAGAAGTCCATGATCAAGGTGCTGGCAAATTCGGTTTCTGGTGAGGCCTCTATTCCTGCCTTGCAGACAGCTACTTTCTCTCTGTGTCCTCGTGTGGCCTTTCCTCCATGCAAAAGGGGGGTGGCTCTGGTGTCTCTTCCTCTTCGTATGAGGACATCAGTCCTATCAGATTAGGGCCCACCCTTATGACCTCATTTACCTTAATATCTCCCTAAAGGCCCTATCTCCAAATACAGTCACTTTGGAGGTTAGAGCTTGAACATATGAGTTGGCGGGGGACACAGTTCTGTCCATAACAGAATGATTGAGCTGTAATTCGTAGGCTAGAATCTAGGGACCGAGAGGAATTCTCTGCCCACAACCCCATTTCACAGATGAGAGACCAAGCTCCTGAAAGTGGTCCCATCGCTTTTCATGATAGAGCACGACCCAGACCACCTGCTTCTAAGTCCAGTCCTCTTTCCCGCAATTTCTTATCTAAATGAATCCAGGGCCGTTAGGAGCCATTAACCAAAACAAGGGCTGAAAGCCCCTCCCTTGATGTCTTCTGCTGTGGCAAGGACCCCATTGTAAGTTTCCTTATAACGTCGTTGCCTAAAGCAGTTCTTGAGTCATGCTGTATGTTTAGTGTCCATTGTTGAATCATGCAGAACTCAGAACCTGGTCCATGGATGGGAGCCGTGCCCAAGGAAACATTTTCAGTGGTAAATCATTCGGGAAAATTCCCCCTTCCCCCAAATCCCGCCTCTTGACAAGAGCTGCCTGAAGTGTTGTCTGTACAGCAGCCCACATCATGGGAACTTCCAGGAATCAACGCGTCTAAAACGGGTCTGACAAGCTCAGATCTGGTGTGTTATATCTATCCCCCTGTAAAAAAAAAAAATCTCTTCCACCTAAATATAGTTTTCTTCTAAAAACTGTCTCCAATGACTGTATTTTACCCTGAATAGGTTCTCCCCAGTGCATCCTGCCACTGGAGCGTGAAAAGGAAGGTAAATGCGTGAAATCAAATGGTGATTGCTAACAATGAAATTTGGGCTCATAAAATCAAGGATATTATTCAAAACTGCGAGGTAAATTAGTCTCATTCATTCTGATGGGGCTAGACTCTATGGCTGTGTGTGCCTTCTTTAATTAACATGCTGAAAAGATGTTCTGATTGGGATTATTAATGAATGCAGTGAAAATTTTTGCTGCTTATAAGGCTTCTGCCACAGACGGTTTACAGAACCCCCCCGCCCGTTTCTTTTTCCACAGATTCCTTACACGGCCTGACAGATGGAGTATTCATCTTTGAAGCTGTTTCCACAGAAGATAGCAAAACCATGCAGGGCTATGATGCTATTGTTGTCGAACAATGGACAGTCCTGGAAGTAAGTGGGGGATTGGCAGGGGCGCTTCTTTTGTTTGGACAGTGATTCTTTTATCCGCTGGCTGGACCTGACTGTGGCTGCTGCTCAGCTGTGGCTTTTCTCTGACAGGTAGTGTGACCTGGGGAGACCTGAGGAGGACCCCTTGCGTCCTTTCATGCCCCTCTTTTTCCACCCTCCAGGTGGGGGGGTGGGCCCCACTTTCCCCTTTCTGTAGGAAAAACACTTTGTGTGTGCTGGACCATTGGGTGGAAGGAGATTCTTCCTTCATGAATTTGCATAGAACTAAAAACTGTAAGTGACATGAATGAGGTGAACACACAGTTTGTGGCCTCCATGGTAATAACAGCAACATCATTATTAGAGGTAGACCCTATGGCTCCCTCTGCCAAGTATGCACACGTGCTCACTTAACTTCAGAATAAGCCTATGAAGTAAGTAACATGACAGCCCCTGTTTTACAGATGAGGAAACTGAGGCACAGAGAAGCTAGGTCCCTGGCCCAAGGTACACATTAAGTGCTGAAGGGTGTCTTTGAGAAATGTTGACCCATGAGGCCACCAAATTGCTGTGGGCAGAGGAATTCCTCAAACCACGTTCCTCTGGGACCTTGGAAGAGCTGGTTTATTTCTGAGATTCACTGGGGTGTACTTTAAAGGCATTTCTCTACCTGTGGAAGCCTGGGCTTTTTCGAGTCGTCTCTTGTCCACCCAGGATCTGGGATGTAAAGGGAGAAGCTGTTTGAACAGAGAGGACTGGTTCCTGAACGCTCTCGCGTAGGCCCTGAAAGAGCACAGGGTTGGCATCACTCTGCGGGACCCCTGCCAACCGCTCTCTGTGCCAAAGTAAGACAGATGTGGATGCAGCTCTTTGTGAGGAATGTGGGGCCCCAGGAACCCCCAGACAGCAGTGCTCGCCACACCCTGTGCCCTTGGAACTGCAGCCTGGAGGCGAGTCTCTCATCTGGTTGCTGGCCGGGGTGCCCCAAGGACACTGTTACCCAGCCCTTTAGCCCGCAGCAGTTCTGAGCAGGCGTGAAGTGGGGAGGAGGGCTGTGGGGGGCATGCCTGCGTCTCAACAGTGACGGGAAATAACTGCTTGCAAGTGTGACAGCAGTGGACTAAACTGTGGTAATCAGACACAGGAATTCCAAAAACACAGCATCCAGGACAGTTAGGATAGGGGCCAGGAGTCCTGAGGGCATGTGGAGTAAGGACGGTAAGGAGTCAGATGATGCCCTGGTTTGTGATCAGGCTCCACCGGTTACTCCCATCTGACCTTAGTCCCAGTGCACCTCCACGCCCCTAACTGGAAATGGGGTGCAAAGGAAATGAGGCTCAGTCTGAAAGGTCATGTCCTCTCTCGGGACCCTAAGCTTCCTCAACTATAAGGTGGAGGCAGTGCCGTTCATCCAGCCCACCACAAGTAGGAGAGTGAAGGCTCCAGGTGATGATGAAACATGAAATGACAGGGGTAGCAGTCGAGGATCAGGACCCCATGAACACAGTCCGCACTCAGTTTGCTCTGTAACACTCGGCTATCAGCAAGCCATGCATGGCTGCACCAACAATAGGTGCGTGTGCGGAAGCAATTAGCAGGCCATGGAGACGTGTGTAAAAATCTCTTGCTGTCTGCACGTTACAACAGCTGTTTAAGGGAGGGCATTGTGGTTTCCTCAAGAAAGATGACTTTATGGCAAAGATCCAAAATCATTCTCAAAGTCTGGTCCCAGGACCAGCAGCATCAGCATCACCTGGGAAGTTGTTTTAAATGCAGAATCTTGGGCCCCACCCGGGACTTACTGAATCAGAAACTCTGCAGATGGGGCCCAGTGATCTGTGTTTTCATAACCCTCCAGTTCCTCATGCACACTCGATTTGAAGAAGCAGTGTCTATAAAAGTACAGTACAGGGGCCAGTTTCACCAGATGTCTGTAGTGTGTTATTTGATGAAGGGGTGATGGAAAAAGTACTCCAGTCATTTGTCTGTCTTTAGCCTTTGAAACTAACTGTGACCTTGATGGGTAACTGAATGCATACTACCTGAAATGTCTGTGGGAAGGAGATAAGGTTACAAACTAAAATAAGGACGCTGTTGTCTTTTTAATTCAAAAAGAGGTCGATTTTCTGGGTTAAGAAGGTTAAGGTTTATCAGGTTAAGAAGTTAGATCATTTATTCAGAAACTTTTCCTGGATATGCAGATTGGTTTCCGTTAGGTTTACTTGTCAATTTATTTCTTTCTCACATATTTGAACTTTTTTCCTCTTGACTTATTTTTGTGCATTAATCTAGCATTAATCTATTTGGCGATATTAGTTTTGGGTCGTGTTGTCATCATCCCGTGTCCCATCTTTGTGACTGCGGGTGAGCACTCACACACCTACACAAACACACATGCACACACTCACACACTCGCTTCAGGAATGCGTTGGCTTTTCCCCAGGAATCCTTGGAAATGAAGTAGAGGTTTAAAGCTGTGATGGGCCCAGTGGTGTGCACCAGCTTGCAAAGCCAGTTCTGTGCATCTCTTCCCAACTCCATTTTCAGTGACAGATTCAGTCAGATCGGTAGCTTGAAATTGGCCATGGTGGAGGTATTACACCACTGAAATTGGCAGACGCTAGAAATTAGATCCCCCGCCCCCCCACACAAGAGGCAGTTGTAAGCATTTACTGGCACACCACTGAATGGGCCTTTATTTCATCACATTTCCACGTTATGATATACGGGTGTGGCTGGCATCCAGTTAGGCAGAAACAGATTTTCTTAATTATCATGATAGTGACGAGAAGTGGATTAATGGTTTTGATGTTGTTCTTCACCAATTTTCCCTACACAAGTCTTCAGACCTGCTCTTCTCTCTGATGTCTTTGGAGCATCCCTGTATTTCCCACAGTGGAAACAGACTCCTGTCCGTTTTAGCCATGTCAGCCTCTGAGGTTACCATCTCTCAAGGGCAAAAGGAGGGGAGATCTCTTCTGGGCAGACTGTACCCCTTGGTGTATGAGTTTCTCTTCCTCTTTGCAGCTGGTGTAGGCAGCCTTGGAGTCAGCTCATAGGTCACCTCCTCCAGGAAGCCTTTCAGACTCCTTCAGGACTAAAGACCATTCCTCTGTGTTCCCAAAATTCTGTGTGCATACTCCCGTCAGGCTCCTATTCTAATCATTGTTATTTATTTATCCCCTTTCTTCCCTTCACTGTGACTTTGTTGGCCTGGAGATATTCATCTTTGTTCTCCAGGGCACCCAGTAAAGGCTTCCTGAATTGGGTTGGAGGCCTTTTGGTTCAGCCCAAGGGTAGACCAACATTTCTCAGAATTGAGCTTGTATCATAATCACCTTGAAAGCTTTCTAAACACAGCTATCCAGGCTGTCCCCGCAGAGTGTCATATTCAGCCCGCTTAGAGAATCCCTGCCTTAGAGGAACCACGTGTATCCAGCTGTGACACCCAGCCCAGCAGTGTCCCGTCCAGGGCCAGTTTGCCCATGACTCAGCTCTTTCAAGAGACTCTGTCAGACCCCCACTCTGACCACAGACAGCCACCCTTCTGCATGCCCCCTCCAGGCATGTGGGTGTTTATCCAGCTCCCTCACCTTCCACCCTGGAGACCCAGCTACTTCCTCTCTTCCCCACTCTTTTGGCCTCTGGGAAGGTCTTTCCTGTTCAAGCCCGGGGCAGGTCCCTCTTGGCTTCTGATTGACCCTGCTTTTCTGGCAACCACTGTCCTCCCAGGCCAGCCCATGAACTCCTGGGCTTTGACCACAAAACCTCTCTGACCAGCTGCTTCTATCTGCTCACAGTTGGGACTGACTTGTCCCTTTCCTGCCTCTTTACTCCTGTGCATATTAATGTCCTCAGCTCTGTGTGCCAGTGTGCCATTCCCTTTCTACACACACACACCCACACTCACAAAAACCGTACCTAGCTCTTCACAGCTCTGCAAACAGTGCAGTCTGTTGGAGAAAGAATGTAGATTGTCGAGTCTGGCCTGGGTGTGTATCCTGGCTTTCTAATTCCCAGCTGAATAACTAACTGAGTGGATGAAAAGTAGACTGCTCCCTTTTTGTTTTTCTATTTTTAGTTGGATAAATGGGGACACTGGTAAATGGGGACACTGGTAACAACGTCTCAAATTTGATGAGAATTAAAAGAGGTAATATATTAAAAGGTTATGAATGTAGTACTTGGCATAAATAGCACTTTCCTTTATCAGTCACCTGGTATCATCAATAAGAAAGATCCTCTCCCGATGGTCTTGATCTTGTTGTACAAGCACAGAGGAGGTTGGGCTCGGGAGAGTGCGGAGTCCAATGCAAATAATTGCATTTTTCTCAGTTGGAAACCTACAGCCTACAATTAAAGGCAGTTGTGAGTGGGATAAAAGTCCACCCATAAGGCATTTATTAGGGGTGTTTTGTGCATCTTTTCCTCTCCAGTGTCAAACAGACTGGATGGAGGACATGGTTCTTTGGCATGTTGTGGGAATCTCTCCTCTGGTCCCTAATGCTACCCCAGACTCCTCCACAGAGGCTTTAGATGGCCCCATTGTTCCGTCTAACATGTCACCATCTTGTCCCTGAAGGAATCACGAGGGGCTTGGTAAGATGCATTTCTGTAACTGAAATCCACTCTGGGCATACTTCCACCCTACCTGTCCCATGACCCTGTTCCACAACATATTAGGTCCCACTTGTTCTTCGTGAACTTCTGCAGGCTTCTGGGGATTAATCTTTTGTTTCCAAAGGCCCCCAACCCTCTCTTTTACAACCCCCCTACAATTTGCCAGGAGTAACATCAATTTCTATGGTATCTAGAATTTACCACCTTCTGCTCTGACAAGGGAGCCAATATTTGTTCTTTTTAAACCATCTGGCATTTCTTTTTCATTGCCACAGTTTCTCCAAGATAATTATTTTGGTTCTGAGATCATAGCCTTTAGTGCCAAAGACAGCAGTCCTCTGCCTTTTTCCTGTGATACAGAAGATCTTTCCGTGAACGATCAC